CTCTCCTTCGACTTCTTGAGCTGTACTGCTCTTTCTGTGCAGTCCAGGCATAAAATACTGCCTTGCCTGGGTAGTGGCTGCTGTCCCTCGTCAAAGGTCCTAGAAGTTTAATGACTTTCTGTCAGTGCTTTGCGTGTTCCCCTGTTTTGTCCTAAAGCATGAGTGGGAAAGGTAGCCAAAAACACAAATGAACCTTATGCTTAAAAGCAGAGCTTGGGGTAGCTGTAGAATTGAACTTGTATTTTTCCTATGGAATACCCAAATTGCTCAAATGTGGGAGGAGAGGAAGAGAACCACAGAATGGTTAAGGTTGGAAGGGACCTCTAGAGATCATCTAGTCCAACCGCCCTGCTCCAGCATGGACACCCAGAGCACGTGGCACAGGGTGGCATCCAGGTGGCTTTGGAAGATCTCTAGACAAGGAGACTCCACAGCCTCTCCGGGCGTTTCTTCAGATTAGTCTGTTCTTCCTCTTGCACTGTGGGCTGGCACAGGGGGAGGACGTTATAGGCCTGGTCTTGCCCGGTTCATTTGCCCCATCCTTACATGGGGAGGAGGGGGAATAAAGGGGAAGGATATAGCTCTGTCTCTGAAACGGAAGAGACTGTCACTGTAGAATAGGAGTTTTGAGATGTGCTCTGTGCATGTGACGTGAGGGTTGATGGCAGTAGCAAAAGCCCTGTTTTGCTGCCAGTAGAGAGCCCTCGGGATCTGCGCTTGCTGAAATCCCAGATGGATTCTGTGGAAGCGGTGGGGACATCCTGATGGGAGTGATCATGTGGCAGGGCTGGGAATGGCACGACAAGAAAGGTCTCTGGATATTTGCCTGCTGCAAATGATTGAGGTAACTGGAGTCAATGAACAGCCAATCTCAGTCCCCTGGGAAGTAATTTATTCTTTCTTTTGATGGGCAGACAAGAGCAGGGCTCACAGGAGGCACTTTGCAAGGCAGAAGGGACCGAGCAGCAGTGTAATGCCAGCCTCTTGGGATGAGGATCCTGCCTGGGGACTTGCATGTCCCCAGGCCTGTGGGCCATAACAGGCAGCAAAAGCAGCAGCCCCACGGGAACTCCTGAGGCTGCGCTTTGGCGCAGGGGAATTGCAGCTGGCTCTGCAAGCATGTGTCGCATGTATAGCCGCACTGACCCGTGCAGCTGCCGGGAATATGCGAGGAAGGAGGCTGTTCGAGGAGGTGAGCAGCCCTCCTCTGCTCCGTGCAGCCAGGTGTCCTGACCCAGCGAATCATGCAGCTGAATGAAAAATACTCACTGCAAACTGCTGGCTCAAACACAGCCCGGGAGGAGGAGACAGGGCCATGCTGGCTCTGAACCAGGCAGGCCAGAAACGTGCCTGATGCATCAGTGAGCAGATCCAGCAGAGTCCTTCAGAGACTGTCACGGGTTACCCGCTGTAATGGACAACTGTTGCTCTCTCTTGTCTGCCCCAGTCCTTGCTGAAAGAAGGAATGCACAGGTTTCTGGCCTTGAGCCTCCTCTTCTTCAGCACCCTTCTACATCTGCACATAGACTATCATGAGTGAGAGGGACCTGTTTATTTTGCTTTCCTCTCAGTGGCCAATAACATTGAGATTTTGGAGCTGAAAAGCGTCCTGCTAGATTTCAGTTCCTCTCCTGAACAAAAAAAGGCTTATTTGAGGCAGTATTTCAGCTTCCAGCTGCAACCATGGAGTCCAGCAGTGCTGTTACTCTGTGGGATCTTGTGAAGATGATGTGATCCTCCTGATATACAGACCCTGAGCTGTAAGGATGCTATCTATGTGTGTTGTGGTTGTGGAGAGCAGGTTATGTGTTGTGTTGAGGGAGGGGGAAAAAAATGATCAGAGGGCAACACAGTGTCTGCAACACACACAGGTCTGTCTGTGCAGGGCGGGTGGCTGTCATGTTACCCTTACACATATCTTCTCTCAAATAGAAGATGGAAGTTACTTTAGTTTTTCATAGTTTTCAAGGGTTTCCAAAAAAGCAATGGGAATCACAAGCTATCTCGCAAGTTACCTAAGAGCCTTCCTGCGTCTGGTGTCTGTCTGGCCTTTCCAGCAATGCTCGCTATTTGACCTGCTAAGCTAAATATGTCTTTGCTTGACAGTAAATTGTTTTCTTGATCTCTGCTGTTGTATGTCAGGTGGACATCAGCATTGAAATTGTGTCCTATAAGTAGCTGTGCCAAAAATTGCTCAGACCTGAAACTGTGGTCAGAGGGGCCTGAGTGTCTAGGAGTTAGTGAGAGAAGATGGATAGCATAACTGTACAATTATGGCAAGTGGCAAAACAGTGTGGGAAAAGTAAGCCTGGAAGGACTGAATTTCATGAGGAAAATCGACTGTGCCACAAAGGAACTGGCTACCTAGCTGAGGGAAGACACCACATGGATTGGCCATGTCATATCACACCTTTAATGCTCTTTTGAATCTTCCCTGACGTACATGTGCTGAAAGCTGGTTAGTTAGAGCTCTACCTTTTGGAGGTCCTCAGATTGCAATATGGAGTCATGCACAGGATTGAAATGGGGAGAAAACTTTCTGTGCTTGAATCGACCTGTTTCTAGGCCTACTTGGCCTTTGGGAAAAGAAAAGCGTAATCGTCATTATTTAGGGGTAGCTTTAGATGCACTGTTAGCCAGACTTTCAGGTATTAAAGTAACTATAGTAATGAATGTCCCATTAAAAATATTTAAGCTGTTGGGGAGATAAAGTTAGGAGACCTCTTCACCCAGCTTGGGCTCGCAACTCTAGCTGTGGATGGGAAGAACAAGCTGTGCCAGGATGACTGGTTCTTAGGTGTGCGTGACACAAAACAAGAAGCAAAAGTTTCTCCTGCTGCCCCAGTGTGTCCTTGCATTTATGCTTCACTTGGTGTGCCCTAGATTGTTCCAGTGCAGTCTTTTCTGGAAGAATTTCAGAACTTCAGCACTGTATTTGCTTCTTACTTGCTGTGTTACTTGTTCATGGTAGCCATAATCACCTCCTTAATAAATGTGGATACACAGAAGTGTTTGTATCATCAAAGTGTCTGATGCAAATGCAAAATGCTTTCTTGACACATCCTTCCCTGCTTCCCCAAGTACTTTAAAGCTTCCTCCAGGTGGGAGAGGTTCCTACACGAAACACTCCTTATCTTTCCAAGAGGAGGTGTCTGAACCTGTCTGTACTTCAAGGGCAGATTCTTTGCCACCTTCTTTTATCCTCAAGAAAGACCAGCTTTTCTTTTGTGTGCAGGATGCTTCAGGCTTTCCCTGCGCTTGGTGGTGTCATGAGCCCCACAAAACAGAGGACACCAGAAATACAGGAAGGGAGTGTTTTTTTTTTTTTTTTTTTTTCCCCTCTGCCAACAACTATCTCAAGTAAATAAATCAAGGACATGGAATCCCTTATGCTGCCATATTCAGAAAAAGGCTGGTAAGCCAGTGGTGTCTGGCTACCAAACTTTTGCCTGCTTAATTCTAACTAACACCATAGTTAGTTAGAACTAACTAGTTAGCCAGCACCTCATAAAGTGATGGCTTTTTGAGGGGGGATGTCTTTCCTCTCACTTACTAATATACCATTTCCAACCTTGTCTTAATGGGAGGCTTTCTTGGCCATCCTCTCTGTAACCATTCATTAATCTCCATGTTTTTCTACTGGCAATTCTTGGTGCACGTTGGCCTCCCTCCTTTCTAATCTTCAGAGGCCAGTTTAAGAAAATTGATCCTTTCTTCCACTGTCTTGCCAAGTGCTGACAGATAAATGCTGCTGGAAGTGCATCTCTTTCTCACAGCATTGAAGGTGACTGCGTTTCTAAAAGAATTAGGAAATGCCAGGATCTGATCTGTTGCCCGGGACAAGTGGAGCATATTTTTTGTTCGCAGTATTACATATTTCATGGCAGGGACAATAGTTGTTGCTGTTTTGACTTGGTGGCGTATTGAGATGGAAGATTTGGCCGCGTCCGGAGACCTTAATGCTTCATCAGGACGCACTACTCCCAGCTAACAGAAGCTCAAAGCTGCAGCCACGTGCAGTGCCGTGAAATAAATCCTGACTCGCTGTGAGCATGTGGGACGGCTGATATTGATGGAGTTCCACCAGCTCGCCAGCAAAGCCTAGGCTAGCCTTAAATCTTCTCCTTCCAATTATGTATAACAGTGTCACTTGTCAGTGGGTGCTTTCCTTTAAAATTGCTTCCTCGATGCTTGGGGGAACACAATCATTTCTACCCTTCTAAGCTTTGGAAAAGATTGAATCAATTCCTTTTTTTTTTTTTTTGTTAACCTGTGCCAGTGTTTTTTCTGTTTAAAATATGGATACTCCTTGGTGAGGTTAAAATGCTGAACTTCCCATTCTCATTTAACTTAAACATTCTGGGTTTTGAGGGTGGACAGTGTGCTGTACTGCAAGAGAAGAGTCTGTGCTGAAGTACTTGTAGCCTGCATTTTGGACATGTGGAGACAATAATTAAAATATTCAAAACAAAGGAAAATATTTTTGTGTTTAACTCTTTTACCTTGTGCTTAAAAAGCCCTCAAACTTTCGAAATCCTTAAGAGAGTTTAGGCATTAATATCTATCAGTCCATGCACTTTCTGAAAGCTGCAGTGAGCTTGAAAGAGTAGTCAGACCTTGGGTTTCTCCCTTTAAACTCCTCTCAGATTTGTACTGCTGTTTGAGTCTGTTCAAATCTCTCCTCTTCCTTATCAAAAGCCTGCTGCCACTTACTGCTTTGTTTCCCTGCTCTGATCATGATCGCAGCTTCCACTCCAAGTGCCTGAAGCGCACCGGCCGCCCCGCGCCGTGTCAAGTGGTCTTTCCAGTTGTTTTCCCTGGAGGCGAGTGTAACCTGGCATACCATAGGTACTCCCTGGTGCTGATGGCCGCACAGGCTTGCCTGCAGCCCCTCCGTGGCGTTGCAAGGCTCGCAAGGTGCTGCTGCCCGCGGCTCGGGCCGCTGCTCGTGCTGTTGCCTCGTGATCCTTGCGGGCTGCGCGCTCCCTCCTGCACCGTACCTCAGCGAGGGAGCCGCCTGCTCGCGCTGGGCGCTCGGGTCGCCGCCGCCGTGGGTGCTGTCTGCGCGCCTGCCAGCGGTGTCGTGGCTGCACAGCGCGTCCACCCACACAAACTGAGCTGCCTGCGCGGTTGCAAGTCTGCTTCGGCTGCCGGGGGCACGCGCGGCTCCTGCCCTTGGAGGGAGCTTGTTCCACGTGAGTTTTGCAGCAGGGCATGCGTTTTGGTTTTCCTGCCAGCCTTTATAAATGCAACTGGTGGTCATTCCGGTTTAAAAAATAGGGCTTGCAAAGACAGCACAACTGGAAGCCAAAACTATTTAGGATTTTTAAAATATAGTATTAATTTAAGCTTACTTGTGGGAGATATTACCCAGCCTACCTATAAGATGGTTGTGGTTTGTAGTAATTGCACTGATCTAAACTTTCTTGGATGCCCTGTTGTCAGGAAACACTAAGGAGCAGACTTTTCCCTGAAACCTGCCATCGAGTTGGCATGCTGTGACAGTCTGAACCCTTCTCTACTGCCTAGGAAGTAGCTCCGAGATGTAGCAGCAGTGCGAGTGAAAAAAGGGAAAAGAGCAGCTCCTTATTGCTTATTCTTCCTGATCCGAAAATCCTCACCTTGCAGGTGACCCACATTGGGACAATGATAATAGTCTTTAATAAATATTTAAGCCAGGAGTTACTCAGACATGCTGTATTTCTTTTTATTTATTTACTTTAGTCAGTGCTAAGAGCACAAAGTGGGACACTCAGAAGTTCAGGGGAAGCCCTGAATAAAGATTGCTTCTGCACGCTTGTCGTGGCGGAATGCAGCTATATAGTGATTTTCTCCCTACTAGAGACCTGTTCATTCCCAATGTTTTATTTTGGCACAGAATTAATGGGGTTTTATTTTATTTTATTTTATTTTATTTTATTTTATTTTATTTTATTTTATTTTATTTTATTTTATTTTATTTTATTTTTAATGGACTTTACATAGTATCCCAAAGGCAGTACGTTATTTTTGCTTTTAAGCAACAGGTTGCTTTATTTTTTGGTTCTTGTAAAAGTCTGTGCAAAACCAGCAGGACACATCTTCACTGTGTGTTTTTTTATTGTTTTTTTTTTTTTCAGTCTCTTACGGCTTTATGGTGTTGCTGTTTCTCTCACTTCCCAGGCAACATGATTACTCTTTAGAAATGAGATTGAGATGCTAAGAGAGCTTTGGTTGTGCTCAGCGTTCAGTAGAAAACTCGATCCTTTCCAAGTGGGAAAATCTTCCTGGCCGGGCTAGAGAGGATGTTGTTGTTCTAACTTTCAAATTCCAGTGCTATGTGTAAAGAGATCGATACTAATTCTTAATCAAGGTGTAAGGAAAAGAGGCCTCACACGAGTCTTATTTACAGAACAAGCTTTGCTAGCTTCTTCACTGGAAAAGCATTGTGGTTCTGCTCCATGAATTGGTTCTCCAAACCAGCTGCTGCTGGAGTCGCTGAAACCTGCCCTTGCTTCCATTTGCCCTGCTTGTGTTTGGTAGTAACCTCGGAATGAAAAATACATAACTACTCCCTACTGCCTCTGAATCTGCCTTTTTTTTTTTTTTTTTTTTTTTCCCCATTTTATGCGCCAGGCAGGAGTTTTCCCTGAGGAGTTTAAAACAGATGCTCGTTCGGATGCTGCGCTCTGCCCCTCGCTTTTCCAGTGCGATAACCCTGTCGGCGCTGGAGTCGGAAAGTCTGGGTCTGCTGCTCAGCCTGGCGCCTCAGGAATACCTGCCCCTTCCCTCCTGCTCCCTGGCCCTTCTCTCTCCACAGCTGCTGAAAATGAGAATTTGAAGCAGAGGAAGGATGAGGGCGAGGAAGGGGCATAAACACGCTCAGGCCGTGACCACTCCTGAATCAAAGGAGACTGGGACCCCTGGATATGTCAGTATAAAAATGGAAATGGATTGGCTTACAAGTATAGCAGGGCTGAGAACATGTGTTGGCTCTGGCCCTAACTCTGGAAAGAGAGGGAGGTCAGTATGCGTTGCCTTTTAACTTGTGTTTTGGATCCAACTTTTTGGTATAATGGTATCGCAAATTGGAGAGAGGAGGGGGGCGGGAAAAATAAAACCCCAACAACATTAAAACTCCCCAAACGATAGCTCTGCATATTTTACTATGAAGTATTTGACTTTAATGCCTTCCTTTAAGCTTCAGTTTTTGAGTTGATTTTAAATAGCATGTATTGCTGAAGCTGGTTTGCAATATTCATAGAGTTTTGCCACCGAATTTACTGTGTTGAGAGAGGGAATTGCTTTCCCTTTCCTCTTCTGAGAGAAGTGCTCTCAGTCTGCCTCTCCTGCTTATGGAATAGAGCTTGTTTCAAAAGGCTGCGAATGCAAGTTCTCTGTCTGGTATTTGACTTGAGTGGGGAGTGCTGCTGAAAAATTAATTGAATAAAATAGCCTGGATATCATGATTTCTCTTCTGATGTGTACAAGTTTTATGTATTTTTTCTCTTTAATTGCCTGGTGAACTTTCTTCTTAACTATTCAGAATCTGTCTGATTTTTTTTTCATCTATATCTAATTCCCTCAGTTTCTGATACTCATAGTTGCATTAGCCACGTACCCTGCCGACACTGATGTTGGGTTAGCGATCTGGCTGACGTGGCTGCTTTACTGAATCCTTTAATGTGGCTCTGCCGTACGCTTCCTTGTGGTGTTAACCTCAGGCAACAGGAGGTACTCCAACTACATGGAAATGGAACTGAAATTAAAAATTTTCATGCTTAAGGACCATTTTCTGTGCTGAAGCGACCAGTGTTTTTTTCATAATTTTCTGGAGCTTTGGCATGAATTTGGTTGCATGTTGTGCTCTGTGCGTAACTGCGCTGGCTTTGCCTGCCCTTCCCTTGGGGAAGGGGCAGTGGGAGGCAGCAGCTGGCCTGGTACCTGCTGCCCGCTGGTTCCCTGTCCCTGCAGGCAGCGTAGGGGAGATGTAATTCCCGATATTCCTGACACTGGTCTCGTCCAGTTTTGGTTGCACCCAAGCCTGAGGCTAACAGCAGGCGCCTGTTGCAGGTGCCCATGGAGAAAGGTGGGTGCCCAGCCCGGGAAAGGGGGAAGCGTCAACGTCCCTGCCTTCATTGCATTAGCTGTTTCTCTTCCTTCACGCACAGGTAAATTTTCTCAAGGGAGTTGTGAGGACAGGTCAGGCCCGGGGTTTTACTTTGGAACAGTGTTTTATGTAACTTTGCAACAGCGTTTATTTCCCAGAAATTAAACCAAGGGACAAATACTTTTTAGGTTGCAGAGAAACATTAATTACTGTAACATGCTCTTTTCCTTGGCTAGACGCTCAGTTTTAAAAGCCTAGATATGGCATTTTCTGTAGCTTTAATGTGTTTATGTATGAAGTCAGAATTATATAATTAACACAAACATGTTTTCTAACAAAAATGTTTTCCCTTAAATAAGTGCTACATGTGAAAGTATAACTAAGTTCTTTGAAGTTTTTCTCCTTCTTAGAAGCCTTTTTAACATACTCTCCCAAACTGGACATTTCCAATGTTACTCTGTGTAACTGTTTCATGGTTGTTGCCTGCTCCGATTTGGAAAGGCTCCTTCAAGAAAGAAGGGCTTGATCCCCAGGTGAAGAGGGGTATTTGTGGAGTGCTACATGCTCTTGCATTGGTGAGTGTGTTTTTTCTGCACCTCTCGTTACACCAGGTCCTGTTGCCAGCAGAAGTGACACTGATGGGGAAATGGTTTGTTTCTTGGCTGCCCTGCCTGAGCACTTCATACCCGCAGGAAGCGCTTGGGTATGAGCTGCTGGGAAGGCATGGGATTTGGACTTTTGGATTAGGAAGACATTAGGATGGTGATGCTACCACCATGTTCAGGCAGAACAGAGAAATGGTGGGTTTCCGGGCAAATGTGAATGCACAGGCTTGGGTTTGCTGGTCTTAAATAAAACAAGAAGCAAATTCAGGGGCTCAGGCCCATGTCTGTACTGTGCCTGGCACTGGGGACTCCCGCGCTGTGACTCTGCCTCTTGGGCCCCTCGATGGTGGAAACCCCTGCAAATAATAATAAAGCTCCATTTATTGAAGAGGTTTATTTCCTTTCCTCACTGTTGCAATGGCCCATGCCTTATTGTGACTTGGTTCCTCCCTGTTTTTGTACTTAGCTCCTCTTTCTATAGTGTCTTGATGCTGGCATCTGTTTAGCTCCCTGCTTGGATGCATTCACGTAATTTGCTCTAACTAGAGGCTTAGAGCTTTCTTCCACTTCGCTGTGACCAGCGGGCGCACTGGAGCTGCATCTTTTCAGAGATACCACAGATAAGCTCTTTGGGATATGTCACTGAAATATCATCCACGATGCTGTTGAGATCTGGGAATCTGCTTAACTCTTACAGTGTGAGAATGTGGCCACGCGCAGCACAAGCACCGAGGATGTGCCCTGGCCTCAGCGGGACTTGCACCATCAGGTGCAATCGCTTTTACTGAAATGGAAAAAGGAACCATGCCTTCATCGTGTCCAACGGCTATGTTGCAAGAAACAAACTGCAGGTTTTAAAAAGAGACTCTTCCACAAAAGCTACAGTTTCAGAGCACAACTCTATGTCTGTGTACATGTGTCTTTCAGCTTTATAGAAGCAGGACGAGTCCATGAGTCGTATTTATGGAACAGCTACCCCTTAGGATTTGAGCTGGGGTTGGAAGGAGCTGAAGTCAGGCACTACGACAGCCTGCGAGACACGGATCCCTCATTGGGGCTCTCCCTCCACGTGCGTCAGTGGCAGAAGGGACTTTGCAGTCGGCGCGTTTGCAGAGACAGCGGGTTGACAGGGACGGGCGCGCGAGGCAGAGCGACCAGACGGAGCAGTTCTTCTTGTTCCTGCCAGCCACGTTTTCTGTCTTGTCAAAGCCTGCTTCTCCAGCAACAAACATGCCTGCACGCTTGCTCGGCAGGGTTGCTTTTGTCAAGCGAAGAGCTGATCCCGAAAAGCCCTCGCGGCTAGCGAGGAGCCTCCCCTGTTACTGCTCGGCACCAGCGAGCCTTGCGCTTGCCGCTGGCGTGGGCACCAGCCAGGCCTCAGCCAGCTTCAGCAGCAGGTGAGGTGCTTGGGCTGAGCACTGGCCCTGAACCCTCCCCGTAGCTCATGCACCTTTTTGGGGCTGTATAGGAACAGGAAGGTGGCATATCTTAACCTTTTCTCCCTTGCTCAGCTTCAGCGTGGCTACTACCCTTTCTGCAATCTGGCTGCCTGGCCCGATACACCAACGT